TGCTGAATATCTTTAATTACATTTGATAATTTAAGTAAACACCTTCAAATGAAGAAAGCCCGTCTGGTTATCCAACACAATCAGAAAAGTGGACTTCCCATATATTGATGATATCGACATTGATAAATATTAATAAGGAAGGATAGTTATACAGTGTATGCATATTGCGGTTATAAAGATAAATTATTATTTTATAGCTTCCATAAGTGTTATGACTCTTACCTCCGCGTTTGTAGGATTAACTTAGTACACGGAACAATTACTTCTACCCCATGGGATATGATTTTGCATTATTTTTTTCTTCCTGATACCTACTACTTACTTACTATCTGACCTTTGATAGATGCATATATAAATGTCTGCCTTTACCAAACCTATATTTAAACTAGCTGGCCTGGCGAACATCGTACCGCCTAACAGTCGATTCTTTATTTTTTTTTAATACTTATTCTGCTATTCTGGACACCGGTCTAGCTAGTAAGATAAAAAAAGAAAGTTGATAAGACAACAAATACATTATGTCAAAAAATAAAAATTTACCTTCCCGGAACCCCTCCACTAACATTTGAACTTTATGATATGGTATTAAAGTTCAAATTGACTTTTAAGTATTATTACGAATATTTTGAATGAAATATAGAAAAGTGTTGTTTTTAGACTTTTTCCACTCAATTTTTTTTAATTTTTCTCTCCGTAAGAACCATCCTCGTACTTCAAGGAATATTATAAAAAAAAAAAATCAGACAAATCGGTCAAGCCGTTTTCATGTTATGTCGTGACAACGGAAAACGGGTTTCATTTTTATATATATAGATTATAAAGCTCAATAAAATCCATTTATCGAGGTCGGCTATAAGCACATTTCATATTATTAGACGCTTAATTTTTTTTCATGACAAAATCAAACGATACGGTTTGTCACTTTGAATAAAGTGCTTACCGCTGCCCATGTAAAATTACAATCCCTAGGGTGCTAGCGGATGTGTTGACGCCTTTGAGGGAATGGTACGATGTTTTCTTGAAGGCCCCTTAGTCGTATCGTCGTAGGCCCCTTAGCTGGCTCCGCAGCAGAAATTGCCTTAAAAAAGGAAACCATGGTTGTAGCATGATGATGTTTTTTCATGACGAACTACATACAAACACATGACTTTCTTATAACCTTGTAATGTTTAAGTTTTTAGAATCTTTTTGCCTACCTGTTAGAGAAATAAACGAAAAATAGTCGCTAACATACCTATATAGGATCTCATTAATCTTGATACAAAATGGTTACTTATTGTCTTGGAAATTGAACCCCAACGGATTATGTTACGCAATTTAACTATGATCAAGTACAGCCTTGTGAAAATGGACGAGAATTTTCAAAGAATAAATTGATCACTGTCATTATTCTAAGGATAATGTCTAGCTCTGCCGCAAATCACCACAAATCTTCTTGCACCGTCATCATTTACAAGGCTCTATCGTAAAATTCCTTAAGTCTTACGTTTTTGTCTACTTGCATTTTGACATTTTTCTTGAGTTAAGCGTAAACAAAATCTAAACATTTAATAGATTCGAAAGTCGAGACGTTTCGAATTATTCATAAACATGCCTTTATTAAATAAGGTCTAAATCTATTAGGTACTAAAGTACTGACTGAAACACGACTATTTAGACTAAAACGGTATAATAATAATAAAATAATACATATTTGTGGTTAATAGGATCATTTTAATTATTCAACAGGACAAATATTATCCCTGTCTGTACTGCACGTGAAACGGTTTTAGTTTCTCGTTAGTTCCTCTGACGCTGCGACACAAAGTGAGCCTTCTTTGAGAATCTTGACCTTGGTACTGACTTCGATTTCTTCGTCCGGATAATAATGTTATTTTTTTGTAAAGTAAACGTTTGGATCCGGTTAAAATGTTTATTAGATTTGATACTAAAACTCTGTGTTCTTGTGACTTTAAATTTTGCAAACTTAAAGTACAAGCGTCAGTAACTAAATAACTATTTGAAATCTTACCCAATACTGTATTTGTACGTCGAAAACATGTAAGACAACCCCGTTTTGATAATAGCACCCTTTTGCCTAAAGCTTCCAAATTCTTTAAGATTCTGAACACGTACATTTGAAACACAAAGATCTGTTTTGCGGTACAAAATACAGTATGACGGGATTTATCTTTATCCTACTTAATTGATAAGGTTTTTTATAAGGAATAAGTGCAGCATTATTTTAGCATTTGTAAGTGTATTTTTTGTATGCTTAAAGTTAGTCGCTGAACTAATAATACGCTACTACTGCTTGAAGACGAGAGACACGGTAATCAGCTTTAATTTCCAACTATTTTATAAAATAGGTTTTATTTTGTGGTTCTTCTAGAAGTGATTCTGTGGAGTTAACGTTCATTGGACCAATTATACGGTTTATATTGCTTTTTAACTGACGTCTTATCACGAACTTTATACTAATAATCTTAAATATTCTATTATTAGTTTTGTCTACTTTTGTTAATTCTAATCTGAAATCTCAAAAAATACTTTAAACTTTTATATTTAATAAGTTGCGAGAATCTAACTGCTATGAAACATTTAAGCTCGATTCAGGTAAATTATCAATTCGCATTTAAAACTGTTTCTTCTTTAAATAACATAAGTTAGTCTAAATTCCCTTGATATTTTAAATATTCGGGACGGACCTGTATGCCACAGAAACAAACACAAAAGTGTCTCATCGTGAGGTTCAGAGTCATTCTGTCTAAAATATTTTACTAGGTACTCATCATCAAAACAGCGTTAATGGTAAGGAGATGATATGTAGGTACACGCTCGTGGGGTATGGATCCTTTGACCTGTCCATTTTCACGAACATTCTGAATCTGATAGAGAAACGAGCAGGTAAATCATCTGGTCCTTACTATTAACACTGTTTTGATTATGTGTAGTTAATGTAATATATCAAAAAGAAACAAAAGAAGTATTTCATGTAGATAATATCGAAAAATGTATTTGTCGATAACAGTGATTGAAGGCGAAAATAACATTCGAAGCTTTGACTCAATTTGAGTATCAAATAACTCACTTTGAATATTAAGATAAAATGTCGCATGATTTTATCGTGATGATAGAAATCGAGTGCCAGTGTAGTGCCGATGGAACCCATGACCATATGCCAACTCCCATAGAATGATCCCCCTATAACCAACTTGAAATACCCAAATATATCGATTAAACACCCTAAAATTTTTAACTCGGATTATAGGTTATTTTAAATATGCAGAAGAGCGTACGAATTATTAAACGCCGGCAACGCATTCGTCAGACCTTTGGCATTGAGAGTGGCCATGGGCGGCGGTATCACTAAGAATCAGATAAGCCTCCTGCCCGTTTGCCCCCGTTCTATAAAAAATGTATTAACGCTGCAACCATATTTATTTTATATAGCTAATAAAATAATTTATAACGCGTCATATAATTAAAACGTAAAAGCGTTAGATTTTATCTAGATTTGTTATCGGTTGAAGACACCTAATTGGTTTATGACTTATATTTATACTGTTTAAAATTATATTTAAAATTTAGTTCCGTAAATATTAAGTTTGTCATGATAGTGGAAGTCGTAACTGTACTGTTTTAACTAAAGTATTATTTTGTCTCCGTCTGTTAAATTGGGTTTTTCTGTGATGGAAAGAGACAGTAGTTCAGCTCAAATGGTGCAATGAGAGGAAATTTCTGATGAATTATGGACAGGTTAGGACACAACAATAAACTATTGATTACTTAAGATGTCATGTGGAACATGGTGTAATGGTTGCAGGTCAAAAACGTTGTGTAAAACAAAAAACTTGGAGATTAAAAAGAGTGTAAATGTAAAATTAGAAGCATTTAATATATATTTCCTTTTTGACGTTCATAAGTGTACATTGTGTTACCTATATGAATAAATGATTTTGACTTTGACTTTTGAAGTATTGCTGATTATGAATTTTACTTAACCCCATAGCCATGACCCTATCCATATTTGAAATGCTAGATTTTTCCTTACAACTATCGTTCATCACGAACCCAGGTCCTCGTGTGTGTTACATACAATGTAATAATTGAAAGCCTTATAATCTGTTTAAACTATATTGTACATAATATTTCATAACAATAAGAATTAACAAAAGTTGATTTTATTAAATCCTAACTATTTCCGATTAGAAATTCCTCGGACAAGCTTGGAATTCGATTACAGTCCTGTCTTGCGCATGTCTTCCAGGCAGATTGTATGATTGCCTATACAAATGTCTGATTTAATGAAAACGATTCTATGAGTAACATCGAGATTTAGCTCGAACTATGTCTCCCGTATATGAAATTTAATTTTTGACATATTTAGCGCTTAATTTTGTATGAATCATAAAATTCAATTCCTATCTAAATGAAAGATTTTTATTTTTCGGTTGCTTATAGAGACCATAGACTTGTCGCTTTTTTAAAACAAAAACCTAAGTACTAAATAATAAATCTCAAATTTTTCTTTCCATAAAAACATTCTTATGAGTTCAAGGAAAAATTCAAAAAAAAAGTAATTGGTCCAGTCTTCGGGGTTTGCGTCACTATTTTTCTTCCCCCTAAATGCCCCATTCCCACCCCAAAATTTTTATTTTTTAGACAAAACTTTTTGTTTTTATAATAAATACATACAACCCTAATTTTCAACCCTCTAAGATCCCCTATTTTTTACTTTAGCAGATAGTTATTTTATTGAACTAAAACAATGTTTCTTAGAAATAATATACATGGCAAAACAACGTTTGTCGGGTCAGCTAGTAACATAAATAAACCTTTACCTTCGACGTTCAAATGCTGTTCAGCAATCATGGTCAGAGAGAAATTGTTATATCAAGTTGACATTATTTGATTAAAATTGCATCCTGCAACGATACATTCAATTCAATAATAAATTGTTTTACAGTAAAAGAAAACTAACGCAATCGTTATGCCAATTAAAAAAAATCTGTTCACAGATGCCTGGTGTCGAAGCTCTTCGATGTCTGCTCTAAGTCAACTCCTGAACAGATGGAACAGCTTGAGGAGATAAGGATACCATGGGGTTCAGGCATCGTTGGCTACGTGGCGGAGAGCGGCGAACCCGTGAATATACCTGATGCGTACAAGGTATTTTCTAACAATACACATTTTGTTTAATTAAAGGTTTTCCTTGCTTGAACTCAACAACGCGCAACAGTAGAATATGGAGGGGCATAAACCCCTAATTGTTGCACTCAAGTCTTCATCTACCAGCTCAGCCCCATAATAAAATTTTTCAAGCATATATATATATTTTATTACCGCGCGAAGTTCAATTTTATCAATTTTATCGATTTTAAGAAAACGTTCAGATACGACGCAATCAAATTACTTCTATTTAAAAAAAATAAAAGAGAATTGATTGCTTTATTTAATATTATTATATCTATGGGCCCGTATTTATTTTTGTTTTGTTTCCAAGAAGAATTATGAATGATCCATTCCATACAATAATTTTCGTTATCCATATTAATAATTTATAGATCATAAATTTTAAGACGAATATAAGTCAAGGAAGATAAATGACAGTAAATTTAATATAACAGGATAAAGGTCCTAAGAGAAATTGTCTTTCAGAGTTCGAAAAGCATTCGCAAAGTGAAAATGATTGATAGCCCTCAAAGTAGATAAATCGCTTTTAAAATTTATCTTTTTTAGCATATAATATTTATTTAAGCGCTAATATACTTTACGATTAAGTATTATAGATTTTTGTACTCAAAGGACGTGGCTTTAACTAATATTCATATTTTGCTATCTAGACACTTGATATTTATTTTAAATATTGTGTTATCTGTGTACTAACAATTAATTGCACTAGTTAGGTCTGTATTACCGCGTTTTATGTACACTGATATTATAAAGAAGAAAAAATTTATTGTTTGCATTGAATATGCTCTAAAACTACACGACTAATTGAAAAAAAACTAACCATTAGAACACTACGTTATTCCTGATGAAGATATGTTATAGAATATTTTCGAAAAAGTTATATTTCTGTATAAAGTTTCGATACCCAAGGTGTTTCAAATACTATTGACTATAATAATGTTCTCCGACTAAAGAATTATTAAACGAATAAAAGACTGTTATTTTAATCATACAGTAATAAGTAGGTATATCTTGTATATCAGTATAAGTAGGTGTGGTACAATGTTACTATGTAAATGACATTGTAACGAAAGCATGATATAATTTCGGAAAAGCAAAACATCCGAAATGAAGAGTAAAAAAACAAAAATTCGTTTCTCAGTGAATTTAAAAACAAAACATATTAAATTTATAATTCCCAGCAACGATATGCACTCTTGGTTCTAAGTGAGCCGTTTTATAATTTCCCTAGCAATATTTTAGAGTTGTGAATAGTGAATTCGCTTTGTGTTGAACTCGTAAAAGAAAAAATATCTTGGTCTGTTTTTTAGTTGTAAAAACTGCTGCAGGGGAAATTTTTTAAATAGTTTTTAAACCACACTTTTTACGAAATCCTTGTTTCTATATAAGACATAATCTTTTATTGCTTTAACAATATTTTGCTATGTTATCTCTAGTGATTAAACCTGTGCTTGTGTATTTGATACCCGGCTGTCCACCAATATAATATTTCTTTTATATTTGCGTAAACTTTTTCTTAACTGTTTTAGTCTCAATACAACTTATTTCAGTCGCCCAAGGCTGACTTACTTTACGACCTACGAAACCGTGAAGAGTGATTAGGGAGCGTTCAAGTATTACGTCACGCAATTTTTGGAGATTATTGAAACCCCCCCCCCCCATATAACGCGCCGTAACGTTTTTCTGTACCCAATAGTAAAACGTTTCGTGAACACCTAGTGACTTTTTATACCTAAAAGTTACCAATATGTGGTGTAAAGTACTGGAAAGGCGAAAAAATATTAACAATAACGCGTAATTCAATCACAGCCCCGCATCGTAACGTTTTACAAAAGGAACCACCCAACCTTACTAAAACCAGAGTAGACTAAAATATATAGCTTGGCAAAAAATTCATATTTTTACACATACTGTATAGTGAAATTGCATTAGTGTGAGTACTGTGAACGCGCCAGCTTTCGATAACCGACCTATACTTGAACGCTCCCTTAGGCACAGAAGACTTTAATTACCATCCGCCAGGAACCAAACTCCACACCCTTTTGACATAGCAGAGTCATTACGCTAAAATACTTACCCTAAAATGATTTTTATTTCCAAATAAAGCACTGTATAACGCCATATAGAACAGCTGTGATATTCACCAAAAAACACTTGAACTAAAAAACATTTATCGTAAGTTTTAATTAAATGTCGGTGACATCTACGTATTTGCAATGTGGAAAAATTCTCGTAATGATAATTGAAGTTGTTTTTAATCACATTAAGTGTAGCTTGTTTGAACAGAGTTAATTAATATGGAAAGTGCATTGTTGTTATCCATTATTTATATTAATTGATATTTTGCATGATAAAATAATTTCCATGGATATATTCTTTCGTTACTATTGCGAAATATTTTCTGCAAAATCATTTATAAACTAATACTACTATATAATTATACTTATGTTTTAGTTCTGTCATTTTAAAAACATATTTTTATAAAATCAAAGAAAAATGTTTTTAAGAAAACTATCTTTAATTTAAAATACTTTAAATAATACTAACAATGATCAATTAATTAGATATGGAATGCAAGAATTAACTCTGATTCGTTTATATACTAAAATAATTAAAAATTTAATAAAATCTAACAACAATATATGAGGATAATACATGCGTGCAAAAAAGTGACAGAACCATAAAGGTTACTTCTCAAAAAAGATACATATTTCTATGAAGCGTCATTTTTCTACAGACAGCTTGTTGATTGATTCCAAGGCTTACGAAAAATATTTATTCTTGTACTTGAAGCTCAGAACGTGTACCTCTTGTCTTGAATATTATGATGTAAATGGAACATGATGAATTAATCCCAGATTGACCTTGAGTACAACAAGCCGCAATTGGCCACTTACATGAGTCAACCGCAGAGGCGCCACAGTAACTCAACCGACCACTATGCATATACTAAGTGCTTACTTAGACCCTAGGGCATTTCATATTCATAACGGTTATACCCAATTGTAAAGGGTAAATTAATATGAAAGATATCTTTTAATTTTAAGGTGACATCGTATCTGACATCGAAGACAGCACGCCATTCATTTTTTTCGTTCTGTCGCGAGATTTTGGCGCTATACTGTAATATTTGCGGCAACTCTAAATGGTTTAATTGATTTCATAAATAAAAATATTCTATTTTTAAAATACTATTAAACATTTGGGTCTATTTATATTATCTTTGTTGTCTGTGGTTAGCACATAAACAATTTAGGTGTTCTTGTTTATTTTTTCAGAAAATACAGTATTATATTACCTAATTGTGTATTGAGGAAGAATGGATTGACAACTTTTTTCTTACCTAAAGTAGTAAATAATAAACACGAAATAAACTCAGACTGATGAATCTCATGTAAAATAAATAAAAAAATAAAATAAAATTTATAATCGAAGCCAATATTACTTTCACTGTTCCCAAACCAATATAAACCCTATCGGAGTTCATGAAGTGTGCAGATTGATGGCTGGCCATTTGTTGTAGGCCACAGGAATTATTCATGTGTACTCGGTCTTACGCTTATGTCACTATTGTTAAATGTTACATTTGGGGTTGCGTTTTTTAGAGGACGCAATTTTATTTATGGAACATGTAGGGGGGGTCAATACAAGCTTAACTCCAAGTTTGTGGGGTTGGCGTGCTTGTACCCCGGCCGCCATCTTGGATAAAGGGGTCCAAAAACCACGTTTTTGGCTATATCTCCTAAACTATCAATCGTACATAAAATTTGTAAAGACACATTTTGTAGCAAATCGCTGTGTCTACGATTATGTCTATGTAACTTTTTATCATAAATCCAAAATTCAAAAAGTTATAAGTAAAAAAGTGAAAATATTTCCTATTTCTAAAGTTGACTAGGTGCGTCAATGCTCATGACAAGCCGATCAAAACAGCAGTTTTACCTTACTTTTAAGATCTCTCGTTTATTTTAAACAAATTTTCTAAATCATTTTTTTTTATTTTTTTTTATTCCTACAATTTTACTTATTGGTATTCCTAGTAGGCCTATTCCACAGACAACTTGCTGATATGGTAATCTTCGACATAATTAAAGAGACGACATAAAGAGACATAATTGTAGACACAGCGATTTGCTACAAAATGTGTCATTACAAGTTTTATGTACGATGGATAGTTTAGGAGATATAGCCAAAAACTTGGTTTTTGGACCCCTTTTTCCAGGATGGCGGCCGGGGGACAAGCACGCCAACCCCACAAACTTGAGGTTAAGCTTGTATTGACCGCCCCTACAGTTCCCATAAATAACATTGCGTCCTCTAACAAATGTTAAGTTTGGCCCTCAAATTGTAACATTTCAATGGACTATCGGAGCGCTGTAAAACCTTAGCTATTAACTTAATGAAAAAATGATGCAAATAAAAGTTGTTCCCCAAAAAACGATCTACAAAAAAGGTCTGATATTATTTTTTCGTAAAATGATAAAAAAAAGTTATATCGAAAAATATAAATTTTTTTCTCGAATTTCTGAAGATTTTCGCTTATAACTTTTTTATTTATAGTTTTACGATAAAAAGTTACTGGACCAAAGTTGTAGAGAATTTAATTTGCAACAAAAAATGTTTACAATTTTTTTTATCAAATAAATAGTTTAAGAGATATATCATAAAAACCGTTTCAACCACTATTTTCAAGATGGCGGCCGTGGGACAAGGGTGGCGACCCCACAAACTTGGTTTTAGCTTTACACTGACCCCCCCTACACATCAAAAAAATAAAATTGCGTCCTCTAAAAAACGCAAGGTTAGGCCTAAAAAATGTAACATTTCAATGGACTATTATGTCACTATTGTTTAATGTTACAAGGACTCGATTAATAAGGGATATGTTAGTACGAAATTGGAGCACTGTTGTTGAAAAGCTTGCAATTCTCAATCCGGAGGTCGGTGCACTTGGTACACAATTTCTATTACAACAA